GTGGATGGATGGATGGATGGATGGATGGACGGATGGATAAACGGATGGATGCGTGGATGGATGGTCTGGATTGGGAGGGAGACTGGATGAAACTCACCACATGTGTCCCCCTGTGGTAAACTGAGTTTTTGGACATGAGTTCGACAGGCACAGCTGTCTAGATATGATCCCATAGCTGACAGTGCATGTCAGAGCACAGACAAAGCCATGATGTGCAAAGAATTGTCTGTAGAGCTCTGACACAGAAAATTCCAGGCCAAGCTGAACAATCCAGGTAGAACAACCTTAGCTAGGGAGGAGAACCTGGCGGTCACTCCGACAGAGCTTCAGTATTGCTCTGTAGAGAGAAGAAAACTTTCCAGAAATTCTCTGGTCTGATGAAACAAATATTGTATTCTTTGGACTGAATGCCAGGCATCATGGCTAGAGGAAACCAGGCACTGCTCATCACCTCCCCAATAAGCAAAGTGATGGCACCATCATGCTATGGGAAGGAACTGGGAGACCAACATGTAGCCACACATCTGAAAGCATATTGATTTGCTCTCCTGATATTTAGACTGTAGTATTGATATTTTAACCTTTCTTTGAATGCAGCAGTGTGTAGAGACAACCTTGAGGATAACGTGCTCCAGAGTGCTTTGGACCTGGGAGTAAAGTTTCATCTTGCAGTTATTTTAAAGCTACCTAACAACTCCTGTGTTGGCTATCTTGGGTCTGCGTCTTTGCTTAGTGCCATTATTTACTGACAGAACATCAGCAAAAGTTGTAACCATGAATGGCATCAGCAATTTGCCTGTTTTAGAGAGTTTAGAAAGTGTGTGTTTTCCTATGAAGCATCATTTTTGAATAACAATACAAACTAGAAAAAATTTGCGTTTCCTGCGAAAATGCTGTGTGGATGCCGTAATGCTGAAGCTGTCTGCTGAAAATAGCTGAAAAAGATTAAAAGTTGCAAAAGTGTATGGCGGTAAAGAAACTGAAAATTCTGCTGAAAACAGGTGAAGAAGCAGAAAAACCCGGGCCTCTCGCTCTGAGAATGGCTGCTCATCTCACTGAGCTAAAAAACAGCTCAACCCGGCAAGCAAAATTAGTGACCACATTGATAATGTGTTCCATTCATTTCAATGGTCAAAAGTCATAGCACACATTAGCAGAAATAGCAGAATTTTTTAAAGTTTGAACATAGTATTTATACTAAAACATAGTCTTTCTTCTAAATCATAATATTTGAACTAATTGATATTATTTCTGCCAAATCACAGGATTTCTGGTAAATCACAGTGTTTGTGCCAAATCACAGGATTTGTACGAAATCATAGCATTTGCGACAAATCATAGTATTTAGCTAAATCTGTGCTAAAACATAGTATTTCTGCTAAAACTTAGTATTTATACTAAATAATATTTTTTCTGCCAAATGTCCATGTGCTGAAACATAGAAAATTCTGCCAAATCATAATATTTGAACCAAATCATACAATTTGTGCTAAAACATTATTTATGATTTAGCAGAAACACTGGGACTTGGTAGAAATACTATGATTTACATGCAATACATTGACTTAGGAGAAATACTATAATCAAGCAAAAAGTACTACAGCATAGCAGAAATTCTATCATTGAGCAAAATTACTAAGATTTGGCAGAAATACTATGTTTTTTGATTTGATTTGATTTGATATACCTTTATTAGTCCCACAAAAGGGAAATTTCATAAGGCTGCCGACCTACTGCACGCAATGGCGGCGCCATCTTACCCTCCGACCATAGATACATTACAGAAAACATCACATGGGGAAGACAGGTCAGAGAGGTATAACAATGGAAAATGCACCACATGAGGAAAGATAAGGAGAAAAAACTCCCCCCAGACTGAGCTCCAACAGGGAGATCAGTTTGAGAACATATCCTATGATTTGGCTCAAATACTATGACTTAGCAGTAATACTATGTTTTGGTACAAATGCTATGCTTTGGCTCAAATACTAGGATTCGGCAGACACTATGATTTAGCAGAAATAATATGATTTGGCAGAAATACTAAACTTTGGCACAAATACTATAATTGAGTACAAGTACTATAAGATAACAGAAATATCATGATTTAGCAGAAATACTATGTTTTTGCAGAAACACTGTAATCTCGCTCAAATACTATGAAATAACAGTAATACTATGATTTGGCAGAAATACTACATTTTAGTACAAATACTATGACAAAGCAGAAGTACTATGATTTAGTAGTAATATAATAACATAACAGTCATACTTCGATTTTGCAGACATGCTGTGTTTTTGCACAAATACTATGATTTGGCACAAATGCTATGATTTAGCAGAAATACTATGATTGGGTACAAATACTGTGATTTGGCAATAATACTGCGTTTTAGCATAACTACTGAGATTTGATTGAAATACTATGATTTAGAGAAATACTATGACTTTGTACAAATACGATGCTTTGGCACAAATACCATGATTTGGTTCGAATACTATGATTTGAAACAAATACTATGATTTGGCAGAAATACTATGCCTTAGTAGTAATACTATAACATAACAGATATTGGTTGTGCAGACATTCTATGTTTTTACACAAATACTATAATATGGCAGAAATACTATGTTTTAGCACAAATACCATGATTTGGTATAAATACTATGATTTGACAAATATACTATATTCAGCACATATACTACAACATAACAGAAATTTTACGACTTAGTACTAATACTATAACATAACAGAAAAATATTATTTGCCACAAGTACTGTGATTTAGTACAAATACTACGAATTGGCAGAATCAGAATCAGAATCAGAAAGGGTTTTATTGAGCAGGTTTACAACATTAGGAAATTGCTGCGGTGCTTCAGTGCAAACATAATGTCATAAATTGCGCTTAAATAGACATGAAAATAAAAATAAGAATAAGAATTAAAAGTGCTACGTAGAAAGATATATACATGAGTGCAGGTGGTGATCAGTGCCAAAACATGGCTATGATTTGGTAAAAATACTATGATTTGGCACATATACTATATTCAGCAGATACACTATGACATAACAGAAATTCTACGACTTAGTAGTAATACTATAACATAACATAACAGAAATATTAAGTGGGCACAAATACTATAATTTGGCAAAAATACCATGATTTGGCACAAATACAATGATATGACAGAAATACTATGATTGGGTACAAATACTATGTATTTGTATACTATGAAAGTATGAGGAGGTCGTTAAGTTTCAAAGACAAGCAAGTTTTAGCAGAATTGTGGAAGTTTTCCATTCATTTCAATGGGACAAAAAAAGGAAAAAAGTGTAATATTTTAAAAAGTATAATAGTAATAAACACCAAAAGTCATAGCACCCATCTCCAGAAAAACCAGAACAGTTTAGAGTTTGAACGGTGAAAATCGGCTGAAAACTGAGGAAGTAGCTAAGTGCCAAAAAATGTACGGAAGCAACTAGATTATAGTGGAATAAAGAATAAAGAGAAACAGGAACTCAATAGTGTGGATGCCTGTGAGGCATCCACACAACTAGATGTGAAGTGGTGCTTTTTTCAAAATAAGCTATCACCCAGTACATAGCACAAGCTAAACTTCCTCACAGACACTTTGAACAGTCAGTCAGCCCCCTTTTTAGGAGACGAATCACCTAAATGTCTGAATGCAAAGCCACATTTGGAGTATTACAACCTGCGCCCTCACAGTCAGGCAATAATTTCACAGTCCTGCCTTTGATACAACAGGACACTTGATTGTCTGTGTAAATATGACTTTTTGCCCAGCTAAATAATCCACAGTTGTATATGTTGCTGTGGTTTACTGTATATCTTGACGGCTCTGTCTTATGAAACCTCATATTTGAAAAACTTACATACATTTGAACGGTTTCATATTGAAGGCTACACCCAATATGAAAATATTGGGTGTAGCCTCAGATATTTTTGTTGGTTTTGTGCCACTTCAGTTGAGTTTTAGCTGATTATTCTTCTGGTAGTAGCAAGACTGACATATGTTAGAGTTTTACTCTTTGACAAGAAGACGGAATACTTTATATCTTTGACCCACTCTCTTCTTCGGATTTGCATAAAACTTAAATAAAAAAGCACATAATCGTTTAGTGATTAGTACGGCATCATAACGGACTTACCAACAGTTGTGAAAACAGTGCAACAGAAGAACATAGAGCCGAAAAAATCCCATCTATCAGGTCTCTGGAACCATATGGACTGGAACTCGTTCTGCATTTTCTCCGTCACTCCCTCCACTATTTGTTCAGTGGCGGTGCTATTAGCTGAGAAAGAGAGATGAGAAAATCCCAGTGCAGAGCAAATCAGTGATGCTACTGATACAATGATAATACAAAGTCTGTTTAATTACCAAACACATAATTAAGTTCATCAAAGACACGTTTGATCTGCTACAAACAGAGTTTTGTGAGCGCTCACCGGTGAGGTTTTGTACGGTCTCTACCATTTGGCACAGAAACTTGTGGTACTCCTCCTGGACAGCGGACGGTGTGTGTCCCTCGATGTGTTGGAAAATAAGCGCACCCAGCGCTGCGTATGCCACCAAAGAGGAGCACAGCAAAAGGTGCGGAACGAACCTCCAAAAGCGCGCCGCGCACTTCTTGGACTCATTCTTTACACTTATTGTTCTCTTCGCTTTCACTGACATCTTCGTCCCCGCAGCGCCTGCAGTCCGTGAGGAGAGCGCCTGTAGTTCCGTTAACTGCTGGCTGCGTCGGTCTGTCTCTCTTCTGCCAAGTGCAGAGAACCGCGAGTCCGTCGCGGGGCCGCGCACAGCCAAAGCGGAAATGATTTGACTTTAATTAGTGCACGTGGTTGAAAATAAATAAATAAAGCGTTACGCCCTTGATGATCTTCAGTTGAACTTTTCCGAACAAGTTTCTGTTCCTGATCAGAGATCAAATTCACTCCCAAAAACACACCCAGCAGCCCAGACAGGGTGGCCCACATATTAACCCGCATCTCTACATAAAATCACATTTACACAGTTCTTTCAACTTTAACTTGTATTTTATTTTGAATATCTTTACAAATAAACCTTTACAAGAGCCATTCTTCCACTTTCTTCAGGACCCTATCCCGGTGGGTACAATCTAGACAGATCACCAGTCTGTCACAGGACACAGAGAGACAGACAACCATCCTCTCATATTCATACCTGTACAATCACAAATAACTGCATATCTTTGGCCTGTGGGAGAAGGGCATCAGAAAGGCAAGAGGTGGCTCCCAGGAGCAGAGTCATAACACTGAGGTTCAAACAAAAACTATTCGATTTACTGGGCAAACTGTAACAAAATGATGAGACTCGATGGGTGTGGATTTACATGACATGTCTGAAAGAGGAAGGACATCAGATTTGACTACACGAAGTAGCTGAAATTGAAACCAACTAAAAAACCAAATGTGCAAACATGGTGGGGTGGGGGGCAAACTGGAATGTGAGATGACTGTGGAGAGCAGGTGAGCGGGGAGCAGAGAGCTGCCACGTGACGCTCTTCTGAGAGTCTGACTCTGCGGCTGCCTGTGCTCTCACCGGCGGTGCATCCAGCATAGTGGACAAAACCTCTTGGTCTTCTGCTTTCTGAGTGGCTGTCCTCCACTCCTGTTCCCTCCACCCGCTTCACCTACAAGTGTGAGTTCTGCAACACATTCACCACACAACAACGTCAAAGCGCACATATTCCTGAGTTTATGACTTGAGAAGGCACAGATGGTCTAATCACACCTGTGGTTGTGAGCTGTAAATAAATCAATGAGTGCATTTTAAATTACAGTTTGCAGCTTAAGTATATTTGTGAAAGTATCCTTAAAAATTAGATACTTACAGAAAACTTACAAATTTGTCAAGGAATCAAATAATTATATTCTGCACTGTAAGTTATTGTGACAGATCTCTTTTTTAAACTTAGCCGTTCGGGGGTGTCTGTAGCATCATCTACTGATGGTTGATGGTTCGATCCCTGGCTGCTCTAGTCCAAATATCCTTGGGAAAGATAATGGCACCCGTCCATGAGTGTGAATGCTCGGTAGAAAGCACTTACAGCAACCGAACACTTGAGGATAGAAAGCAGCGCTGGCACAGACGGTGGGTGAAGGTGAACACAAACGTCTCCTCAGGTAAAAGCTCTAAAATTTACTGCGTAAGTTAAGTTGCGTCAAGTTACGTACCCACCACTGTTTGAATGAAACAGTGTGCGTTTCATTCATGCAACACTCACCCTTACTTATGCTGAAATAGGCCAATGCTGCTGACGGCTTCCCATGATGCACTTTGTGTTTTTAATACATTCCTCTCTTTTCACTCTCCGTGTATTTATACACACCTTTTCATTTAGTTACTATTAATCTGTACCACAGCAGAGCGCCGTCTTTGTCCCGTCTCCTCCCTCGGCTGCTCCGCCCTCAGCCAGGTTCTGCTACTGGGTTCTGCTGCTGGGTTCTTGTGGTGTGCTGTTCCTACTTGTTGTCCCTGGTTGTTCACTGATTGCTGAGGTTTTCTTTGAGTTCTTGGAGGATCTTTACCCTACAATATATCACTCTTTGTTATGATTTGATGCTATAAAAATAAAATGTAATTGAGCAGCTATGGTGGAGTGGGATTTTGTTTTAGCAACAAACTCAATGGGCACATTTTCAGAAACTGTACTATGTTGTCTGTCCTTCATTTTGGCGGTTCTGTTTCCTGTTTTGAGCGTATCCAACCCCGAGTGTCCCAGACCGGAGAAAATGTGATAAAAAGTGAAAATGAACGTATTACCCTGAACATCTTGCCCTGTGAGGGTCTTTGGTGGATGTTAAGTAAAAGCACTGTCCCTTGCAGGTGATCACTGATTAGAGCGACTGCACCTATGTTGATGTCGACACTATTCATGTTCCCATTTCAGGAATCAAGACATTTATTGTGTTTCCAAGTGTTGAAGTAGTGTGAGAAGGAACAATATAAAGTAGTGGGGGTCCCTGTGAGGCAGTATTATAACAAGCTGAAGAAGTAGCAACTGAAACAGTGATAAAATGTAAAATTCAAGAATGTGTCTGAGATAATTAAGAAATAACACATTTTTAAGGTGAAGGGCCTTGGTATGTATGAGGATGAATATAAACTCATGTTAAAGGTTCGAAGCACAAACATCAGATGTGAGGTTTGGATGTTTGGTCTCCTTCCTCCGTGGAGCTCAGCTCCCCCTTTGTACTGCGTTGTTGTATTATTAACGTCACTGTAAATAACCACACTGAACTTTGAGTCCAACCTGCCTCGCTGGCTGTGACAGGATCATCTAACAACATAATGGACTCACCAGCTCTCAGTGGTTAGGTGTGGCCTTGGCTCATAAGAAACGCTGAGTTTTCTATAACTCGATTGATTAAAGAATAGATTAGCTGCATAAGCGTGGCACACATCACGGGATTGTCTCATTCACATGTGCGTTACAGTAGTTAGAAAGCCCTTTAATTCGTCTCTCCAAGTCCTTACAAGTAAGACCTCCAGAAAAGACTCACAGCTCACAGATCCAAACCTCTCTCTCTCTCTGACAACCACCCTGAAGAAATCAGTTTGCATCTGTTTGAAGCGCTGATCACTCTTTTCTTCCTTGGCCACCCCTGGTTGAGACGCCATCTAGCCAGTGCTGACATTTTGGATCACATGCTGTTACCAGCATTGCCTGTCTCACGTCTCTTTCCTCTGATTGTCCGTCACAATTTCCAGTTTCGCCTGACCTCTCTTCTATATGACATGTTTATCTGCCTGAAGTTATTCGAAAAGACTCAGCACTGTCTCTCCTGCCTCGTAGACCCTGCGTCTGTACCGTTGACCTCCTTCCCAGTACACCACCACCCACCAGTTGAACAGTTTGCTAAAATCAGAACCGGATACCCTGGAAAAATACATCACAGACGACAAGAACCGAACAGCAGGCGGGTGCTCTCGCTCTCCTCTGTCTGTCGTTGTTGTTGTTGCCTGCTCTAGTGGGCAGAACTCATCCTGGGTTCCCGTATCTGGCTTCACACCTGGAATAGTCACCCACCTTTGGCTGATGATCTCATTAAGAACCACTGGCTAGTCACTCTTTGCTGGATCGTTGAGAAAAAGCCACAGATTCCAGGTTTCCCTTCCTCAGTGTGTGGAGATCCCACCCAGAGCTGAGAGGGCGTGTGTTTGTGTCACGGTTCTGGGTCAGTTTGACCCAGTAGTTTGAGTTATGTTTTGGTTTATTTTTGAATGATTGTTCTTTATGTTTCTCTGGTGCTTTGTTGGGTTTTATGATGAATCTGCCTTTCAAGTTACTTTGGTGTGTTTGTTTCCTTATTCTCTTAGTGCTTGTGATGATGATGATGATGTTCTATGTTCCAGCTTATTCTGGTTTATTCTTAGTTCTGCCCATGTTAAGTCTGTGTTTCTTAGTCTGCATCCTTGTGTCTTATTTCCTGTTTTATTGTGAAAGTCTATGTCTTATGTTAGTGTGTGCCGCTTTGCTCCCCCTGTCTCGTTAACCCTGATCTCTCCCAGCTGTGTCTCCCCTCCTGTTGCCCATTCCCTGATTACCTCCCTGTGTATATTAGCCCTGTGTTTTCCTGTGCTCAGTGTCGTGTCGTACCTTCAACTAGCTGTGTGTTCTGTGTCTATGTTCCTAGTGTTTAGTCTCCTGCTCCAGTTTTGTATTTCTTTTCCAGTGTCTCAGTCCTTGGTTCCTCTGTTCAGACTTTTGTTTGTCTTTTGGTGAGTTTAGTTTGTACGAGGTTTTCCCAGCAATAAAGCTGCGCTTTAAGTTTCACTTCCGTGTCTGAGTTCTGCATTTTGGGTCCACCACTCCTGCCTGCCACACAGCGATTCATGACAGTTTGTGGATTATCTGATATTTGGATTCCCTTCCTCCCTGGACCCCCCTTTGCACTTGTCTTGTTGCATCATTAACATCACTGTAAGTAAACAGATTCTACTTTGACGTTCCAAGATCTGAATCAGAGTCCAACCTGCTATATTAATTAAAAAGTACAATAAATCAGAAACATTAATTTAATGGATAAAGAATCCAAAGTTCAGCATTTTAGGCAACGTTTTTCGGGAAGTATGAGCTGCCACTAAAGCAGTTATGCCCCTTTAATCTCTTCAACCGAATGATCCAGCCCTCAGCTCTACAGACAACAGATGCTGTGGGATTTCTATATTTAGTGACCCATGTGAGAACCAACTGTGTCACAATCAGACACCAGCTGTGGCCTCTTTCTGTGATAGTCTGTCAAACACAGTAAACACTACTTTGACTTAATTTGAGCGAATCACAATCAGGTATCAGATATTCATTCCTATAAGTAATCAAAATCAGAATACTTTATTATTCCCTAAGGAAATTGTGTGGGCTGCCGTTAATAAACAGTAATACATACAAACTGGACTATTTATCAATACAATATGTTAAGAAATGAGGAATAGCACAATACATGCAATATATACAAGTCACCGTGTCATAAATATTCAGGGTTGACAGATGCGATTATAAAAACATATCAAGAAATTGACAGCAACATTACAGAGTAGAAAAGAGCGCGTGTCAAAGGCTGTAACTGGTGCAGTGTTTACAGTGTGTTAGATGTACAGGGAGACGGCCACAGGCAGGAATGACTTCCTGTGTCGGTCAGTGGTGCTTTTTGGTCATCTCAGCCTCTCACTGAACGTGCTGGGAGTAGCCAGCATGAGCTATAATAATGACACAATATA